TCTTTAGAAATACCAAATTTCCAAATGCATAGAAAATTGTGCCTAGTTCTAGACACAAAAGAGTTTGAATACATTGTATAAAGCTGACAACTAACCTTCAAAGCAACACACGAGTGAAGAGTAAGAAGTCTCTGAAAACTTGGGGATTCATTTCGTAAGAGAGAGCACGTGAAGAACAGCAATCGCTTTTTCTCTCGAAATCACTCCGATAAATCTCCGATACACCGAGAAGAGATCTAGATCTCCTTACGTGTTTCTAAGTTACCGATATACACGCGTGGGGGAGCTGGGTAGGGCTTTTGTATACAAACCTGTCGGGGGTGGGTAGGGATGTTGAAGATGGTTACAACTCACTCAAACCCATGACATAGTAACGAGAGGCCTTTCGTCACAAAAATTGCTCGCCCGAGTTGACGCTCTAAGCGGGTCTGGTTTAGACATAAAGAATCTACCAAAGGCATGCAGGTCATCTATAGCAACTGATATCAAATATATCAAGTCAGAGTAAAATTTGTGAAAGTAACACCTTGTTGATTACATTTAGCAGCTTTTGAAGGAACTAGATATACAATAATTTTTTTAAAAGCGTATAGACACGGTATACATCGCACGGCAATGCAGACCTGACTCAAATCGTTCAATCTGACTCTCCTGTTCTATCCCATCCTCGGGAACCCAGGAGTAATCTTCTGTCGTTCGTTCCTCACTCCCAGGAAAAATACCCCTGGGCACTAAGTCGACTGTTAGACCTTGTNCTCAGGCGACTTCGAGTGAACGAAATCACATCCCCCCAAAAAGTGCAATGCCTTCACTCCACTTAAATCGAGGCCGGAGTCAGGAATGTGCTTATATAAATAGTTAATTAATAATTAATAATTGTTTGGTCTGCGAAGGGAGTTCTGAGCACCATTTCTGGGTTTAATTAATTCCCCTAAGGTAATTGAAGAAAGTCATGCGGTCATGTCTGATGTTGTGTAATAAGCCAAGCGATGCAATCGAGCTTTTGCTGGCAAACAAACCACATAAAGTGCCCCAAAATCTATCCCAAAATCTTAACAATTCTTTAGAAATACCAAATTTCTAAATGCATAGAAAAAATTGTGCCTAGTTCTAGACACAAAAGAGTTTGAATACATTGTAAAAAACTGACAACTAACCTTCAAAGCAACACACGAGTGAAGAGTAAGAAGTCTCTGAAAACTTGGGGATTCATTTCGTAAGAGAGAGCACGTGAAGAACAGCAATCGCTTTTTCACTCGAAATCACTCCGATAAATCTCCGATACATGGAGTTGCTGTTCAAAACACTTCACTAGTCCGACAGTAATTACTCGTGAATGAATTTCGAATCGAGAACAAGGTATAACAGACTTAGTGCCCAGGGGTATTTTTCCTGGGAGTGAGGAACGAACGACAGAAGATTATTCCTGGGTTCCCGAGGATGGGATAGAACAGGAGAGTCACTTGAGCTTTTTAGAATTCTTTGATATTTGAGACCTTATATGTCATTCCAAAACATTCATCTGTGTAGGAGCATGTATTAGGACATTGGTTTAGGTCATAAAGGTTGGTGTATCGATCCAAATTTCATTTTCACGAAGGAGTATTCCTAGATGAAGATTTTGTAGAGCGGGGCGCCAAACTGTCTGATTCTGATACTGGGTATACTTGACCTTTAAATTACTGTAATTAGAATAAGTATATCCATATTTTTACTTTGTTTCACACGAAAGACTATCAGATTGAACGATTTGAGTCAGGTCTGCATTGCCGTGCGATGTATACCGTGTCTACGCTTTTAAAAAAAATTATTGTATATCTAGTTCCTCCAAAAGCTGCTAAATGTAATCAACAAGGTGTTACTTTCACAAATTTTACTCTTGATATATTTGATATCAGTTCCCATGATGAACTGCATGCCCTTGGTAGATTCTTTATGTCTAAACCAGACCCGCTTAGAGCGTCAACTCGGGCGAGCAATTTTTGTGACGAAAGGCCTCTCGTYACTATGTCATGGGTTTGAGTGAGTTGTAACCATCTTCAACAGTCCTACCCATCCCCGACAGGTTTGTATTCAAAAGCCCTACCCAGCTCCCCCACGCGTTTATATCGGTAACTTAAAAACACGTAAGGAGATCTAAATCTCTTCTAGACGCATAGCTGCGTGAACTCGGGGTTCTGCTTGAATATATCATAAAACAACGATGAAGTGACAATGAGTGTTGTAGTCGAAGAATTGAGAAGAATTGGACTATATTGAACCTTAATAAACTTAATAGTCATACTATCAAAAGGCGTAAAGCAAAAAATACTTCCTGGAATAAAAAAATATAAAAAACAGTGTACTCAGCATAAATATTATGAAAAAATTGATCATCAGCAAGCCGTTCTTTGATAGTCACATGACAGGCTGTAAACACAGAGCCTTTTATCTTCTCCGCTCTTTCATTCGTCGGCTTTTCCTCAGAAGAACTCTGTTCGCATTCCTTAGACGAGACCTTAGTAGTTTCAGAGCCTGCATAAGTTCGTATATAGTTCGCTTGTGCAAAGATAGGTAGCTTGTTCGATAGACTCGATCTCTATTAGACAGTAAGATAAATTCTCGATAAATTTACGTTATCTTCTGAAATTCCTTTTTCGGAAAAACGCTGGTCATATTTTAGTGTGGCTAT